AGGGGATCCTAAAGTGAAGGCTGAACTTCCTCGACGTCGGTAATGTCAACATTTCTAATTCTGTTTTCTTGTCATATATCTATGGGCCAAAGCACATATGACAGTCGTAGTCGTGGACGTAAGTAACGCACAAGCTTTGGCGTATCCTGATCTGTCAGGTCGGGGTCTACGACCGTCGTATATCGCTACGCCATGTTATGTGCTTTGGCCCTATATCTGTCCTTGTCTAACGAGAGGCATCTGTCTTTGTTCGATTACTGCGCCATCTCTTGCCACACGCAATATTGCTTATCCTGTCAACCTGAATGTGCTTTTGCACATATAAAAGTTATATAAAGTAATCTTTTTTTCTAGATTTTCAATCTTAGATCTAATTGCACGATATTGTTCTTAAATGTTGTCCCTAGGTCATGCCGGTCTAATTTTGTGGATATTTATCGTGGAATTTTTGTACAAAGCAAATATTGTCGTCACGTATACCAAAAATTAACAAAAATATTAATTTTTTTTCGTTTTCGATATAAATTTGACCACCATGACCTAGATTTTGATGCGTACTTTAATTCTAGACAAGAATTTTGCATTTCTATAAAGTCAATTAAAAGATTAGTGCTAAGAAAAAAAGCCGGTATTACAGACGGCTTTAGGATCCCCTTAAAGCAAAGATTTTGTGAAACTCTCGTTACCACATGAGCTCAACTTGCATTAATAAATATAATAATGTATAATAATGTATAATAATGTACATGTGTAATTAAATGTTTTGTTTACATTCGCAATGCTATCCAATGATCATTTTTCTAACTGCCCAAAGCGTGTCAGGCCGTTAGGCTAACAGCCGGCTTTTAGCCTAAGAGGCTGAAATTACTAGGCTATTACGCTAATTCACGGTTGATTCTATTGGCCGGCGTTTAGCTAAGTTCCTAGGATTTTAGCTAACGGGCTGATTTTTCTAAAGCCTACGACATATATATATATATATATATATATATATATATATATATATATAATTTTTTTTTGTTGAACAGTGTTAGAGATTTATTATTGGGTACCTTCTCGTTCTCGTCTTCTTAGTTTCTTTCGACGTCTTTCTATAGCAGCAAGCTCAACCTTTACAGCGTTATACGTCTTTCGTAATTCAGTTAATTTCTGCTGTAGTACAGCTATTCTTTGACTACCATCCAATTCAGGATCTGTGAAAACATAATATAGCACACAGATTATAGATTATAGATTAGTTTTAGAAAATATTCTTGTGCTCAGGATTAAAAACAATTAGACGAGCAAAGATTTTCATCATGTTCAACATGATAAAATCATACAAATGGGGAAGTATTATTATTTAACGTACCCAATTCAACGTAAAAATTGTACTTTGTTGGTCTCGGTGATCTTGACGAGTAGGTACTGAGATCGGGAACGTTGGTGATGGTGCTAGCACGATTTGTCGGTGTGTTGTTGACTCCGCAAAGATTGGATCCCTCACTAGTGTCGTCGCTGTCGCTCCCAGCTCCGTATCTGCCATGCCTACCGTTCTGTCTGCCAGGTTTTTTCGGAACGGTGCCGCCGCCGCTACCGTTACTGCCAGTGCTATTGCCAAAACCACTAACATTGCCACTGTTATTGGCACTACCACCGCCATCACCGCCGTTGCCACCGCTGCCGTCACCGCCACTGCCACTGCTACCACCATTTCTGCCGCCACCACTACCGTTGTTACTGCTATTACTGTTGCTGCTGTTGTTACCGCTGACACCGATACCGACATCGACGTCGACGCCAACACCAATATCAACGCTAGCATCAACGCCAATGCCAATGCCAACCCCAATGCCAACGCCAACGCCAAGGCCAATGCCATCACCGACACCGGCGCCGACACCAACGCTGCCGCCACCGCCGTGACCGCATTCCGAATTTTTTCTGTTTCTTTTGCGTTTCTTGGGTGACTGCATATCCTCAACTGTACGTTTGGCAGGCGGCTTAAGAATCTTGTCGGCGGAGTTACTTTCAGAGTTAGGTAGGGTGTCGTCCTCACTCAAGCCTAGGCCCTTGCCCGCGCTGTCGTTATCCGCCTCGGAGCTGTCGCGATTAAGCTTGACGTTATCCTCGGAAGTAGGCGACGAACCACCGGTTCTCTCGTCTCTAGGCGAGCCCGAAATGTTGGAAATGCTCGAATCGGGTGTCGTCGGCGGCGTATTGTCCATCACCGGTGCGGCTTCGTTGCTCTCTCGTCGTTGTGGTGGTATCAGAGCCAACACGTGCTGTTGCTGTTGATGATGTTGCTGCTGCTGCTGTTGTTGTTGCTGCTGCTGCTGTTGTTGTTGTTGTTGTTGTGACTGCCGCATGTTTGAGGACGTGTTCTGTTGCATTGATAACGAAACCGGCATTGCCGTTTCTATAGTCTTTGGTAATGCTATACTGAGGGTAGCGGTGCTACTGCTCGTTGTATTTTGACTCGAGGTCGGTGCACTCGCAAAAGGCATCTCCATCAGCACTATGTTATTTTCTAATACTTCATTCTTTGGTGGACTGCATGAAGGACCAACATTGACTTGTTCGATGTTCTCGGACAGTGGGGCCGGCGAGCCAGGTATCTCTTCTTCGCATAGCAGCGAATTCATTGTTTCGCCCTCTTCATCTGTCTTCAGAATGGGTGCTGCATCAATTTTGAACTCCGTAGATTCCTGCTCTTGCTGTTGATGGATACTCTGTGAAGTTTTCAATACCTGCGACCTCGCGTGTCTCTCTTGCGTATTTTCTATACGATCCAATTCCGCTTGTAGCTTCACGTCAAAGATAGATGTCGATACTTTAACGTCTTGCGGCTCCTCGTTGTCTATCACGAGCCTTTGTTCCGAATCACTGCTATCCGTGGAATCTATAATATCTTGAGTGATTTGTTTCTTACGATTTTCAATTTTGTCTTTCTCTTTCTGATCCATTGTTTTATATTCCTCTTCAGGCTTTTTATCAGACATCTCATATCCGGCGTTTCTCCAACTTTCGTCTTTTGTAGCTTCCTGCAATTTGATCTTGCGTTCAGCGACTATTTTCGTTTCTGAGAACTTCTTCGGCTTTGATAGATCTTCCACTTCTTTCTTCAACTTCGATATTTCTTCTTCTTTTCGTTTAGTTATCGCGCGCATGATTTCTCTGCGTACAGTCTCATCGTTCTTTTCGTGTTCGCGTTTTTTATCTACTTCGGCCGCAGGAATAACGCAATCCGCGTCTTTGCCTTTTTGCAGAAAATTAGGAGTGTCTAATTTCTTTTCCTTCAGTGTCTTGATTACGCGCACGACATAAGGTGTTTCCTCGTCCGAAGTCTTTTTGATGTCTTTATTTTTGCTTCGGAACGCCATCGCGGCCGATAACTTTTCTTCTATCGTGGATGTCGCTGGCAGTCGTGCGCTTATGGGAGCTGGCGGTGTCACAATCGGCGATGGAACTGAGACGATATCAAGCAACTTCGAATCCAACATCTTCAATTCTGGCTGCGATTGCCCAGCAGCGACTTGACTTGACAAAGATTTGATTTGGTTCTGTTTCTGATCGGGAATGTGAGGTGTATTATTACTGCTCGTATTGATTATCGGTGTTTCTTCTTTTGCTTCAACTTTAGCGTTTGTCTCGTTTTTGCTTGATTCTGCTGTATCCGGCGATTTGCTACTTTGGAACTGAATGTCTTGTTGATATGTAAACACATTCTCTTGTTCCGTTTCCGATACCTCGGTCTCCGAAATTACCAGACGGTCCTCAGAGTCGTCGCGCGTGCCTTCATCGTCTGCCGGCAAATCGTTGAACAAAAGATTTAAACCAGTCACCTTATTACTCGATTCTTCCGCGACAGTTGATTTCAATTGATTGAACGATGACGTAGACGACTCACTCAGCTTATTGAAAACGTCCTCGCACGATGCAATCTGTGGTTTGCTAGGAGCAGTCGTCGTTTCATGAGCATCGTCAGACCTCTTGCTAAACAATTTCCTCGGTTTCTTCCGAGAATCGTTCTCTGGCGGTTCCGATTTCGTTTCCTTCACTACTGTCGCTGTAACCGGCGTTTTTTGTTTCTTCTTCGGACTTTTCGCCTCGTCTTCGAACATTCTCTTCTTCAATTTATCTTTATCGCAGTTAGTATCTCTCTTATTTCTTACCTCAAACTCGAACGGTTCCGGTTCTTTAAATTCATATATGTCTTCTGTGCTTTCCACTTTCCTTTCGACAACTTCCACCTTCGGAGAATCGATAGTTTTCTCCAACTTGGGCGACGCCGTGATAGCGGCCAAGTTTTCCTTCTCGTCCAACTTAACTTCGTCTTCAGGCTCCATCCTGACTATCTCTAACTTAACAGCTTTGTCGAAACCTTTCAATTCAGATCGTATTTGATTGAGATCGAAATCTCGGCCCTTCGGTTGTTCTTCTTGATCGCTATCAGGTTCAGATTTGATACCTTGAGATTTGCCAGGGGTTCTTCTTAAACGCCTACCTTTACGTGGTTCATCCAAGTTGTCTTTATCGTCATCACCATCACTTATCACATCGTCTGTTCGAATTTTCTCTTCTGCTCTACTTCGCGCTTCCTTCCGTTTTCTTTCTTCCATACCTCTCGATCTGGTTTTGGTTTGTTCAGGTTCGGTGGTATCAGTCTCGTAACCCTCACTATCCTCGCTTTCTGATGCAACAGATATGTCCGTGTGTCCCGAGGTTCTTCTGGTGCGCCTACGATGCTCTATTCCGGATAACTCTGCATTTCTTGTTGTTCTGGTCAGCCTATTGGCGGGCGTAGCAGGACTCTTAGTTCTGGAACTAGAACTAGCGACAGATAGCGGTGTAGTGGATCTAGTTGGTTGTATTGTTTCCTTGTCTTTCTCCTTTTCTTCCCTTTTGGCTTCCTTTATAGATGTTAAAGCTGACTGAACGGTGCTGGAAGTAGGAGCGACGCTTTGCGCCCGGCGTCGGCTTTGCGATGCATTAACGCTCGAATTACAAGTACCTTTCAACTTGACGTTGTTGGACGAATTCGTGCTGGGAGTTTGAGGCCTCAGAGTTGCTTTGACGCGCTTTACTCTACCTTGAGCTTGCGTGATGTTTTGTGCGATTCTAGACGCTTTAATCCACTCGTCGTATCTGGTGTTCCAACCTGTATAATGTACAAGGTACATTGGTTCTGGACCTTCCTTTTCTATCTCGATGACTTTTGCTTCGTAAGTAACTTTGGATTCGTGTGTTGGGCCATAATATACTTTCAATTTGTCACCACACTCGACGGGACCTTTATAGCTAGGGGCGGTCTCTGTAAGCTGTTCGTCCACGCGCGACTTTTCTGTTTCATATTCCTTGCGTTTCCTTCCTCGTTTCTTTAATTCTTCATCCGTTAAACGTCGTTGCTTAGACATCGTTTTCTTGTCTGCCTCTCTAGATGGTGTTCGAGTTTCTCTCCCTTCGGAAGCACCTTTATTTCTCACAGTATCATCTTTTGCCTTGGATCTTGTCTTAGTGGCTTCTTCTTCCTTGATCTTCTCATCCTTCTTTTCTTGCTTCTTGGTCTCTGTTTTCTTCTTTTCAATCACCTTCTTCTTGATATCTTCTTTACTTTTTGATTTGGTCCGGCTGGATGATGCCGTTGTAGTACTGCACGAAGTAGGAGATAACGTAGAAATTTGTGTGGTCGGTTTTTGTGATTTTTCATTATTAGACGATTCGATATCTCCTTCCACATTTACATCGCTCTCCTGGCCGCTACCGTTTCCCTCAGATTCTTCTTTCTTTTTTATCTTGACAACTTCTTCTTCTTTCATTTGTTCCTTCTTAATCTCCTTCTTCTCTTTCTTCTCATCCTCCACAACTTTCTTTTCATCTTCATCTTTGTCACTTTTCACTTGCGCTGGTGCTGGCGGTGGTATAGGAGTATTTCTGTCTTTGTCGCGGATCAGACTTCTTCCAGGGCGTTGTTTGCGCATGCTACCTCGCGGATGATTTACCATAGTACAGCCTAATTTTCTATAAAAATCTTCAAAAGAATGTAAGACCTTCTTATAAGCCTGCTTCACAAGATTGTATAATGACGCCGAATTTTGCATCGTAAAACCAAGTCGTCGTGTTACGGCTTTCCATTGATTCTGATTCGTAACACGATTGTAACCACCCAATTTGTAGACTGCTCGGAAAAGCCGGTACAAGTCTATATCCTCAGTTCCAATCATCGGGCAAACATTTATAGGTGTGCCGCGATCATCCATAAATTTATACAATTGAGCCACAAAATGATCTTTTTCTTCACGCGGTTCGTCGTCCGAACTCTAGAAAAACCATATTCCATTCCACGTTACGGTCCATAGCCATTGTAAAATGTAAAAGAAAAAGGAAAAAAAGCGCAAATAGATTTAAAAAAAAATCTTACATCTGAGTCGAGTTCTCCATCATAATCGCTATTCCCACTAGAAACAGAATGTCCAAAGAGGGAATCCCTGTCCCAATGGGGTGGCAATTCATTTTTCTCTAAAAATAAAAGCGCTTTCTCTACTGCGACCTTCAGAGTACTATTTTCAATTTTATTAACTAATTCTTTCGTGAATTCTGTAGCTTCCTTCTTGGGTACTGTATAACTAGAAAAAATATATATATATTTACACACAATACAAAGACAAGGCGCGCACAATGTATGTGGACATGATAATGTAATAGCAATCAATACTTCGTAATAAAGATTTCTCACTTACTATCTAGCATCTTTAAACGAGCGCACTAAATAATCATCTCTCACTCGTATTCTTACTGTATCTTGAGCAGTAGGTGCAACCACCAATCCTGGAAACCAATTGTCCTTCTTCTTTTTATCACCGAGTTCTACACAAACCACTCTACCAATTTCTGGTTCAGTTTCCATTCCTTCTTTCGCACCTCCGCTGGAAGCCGAGTCACGAGCGCCTCGTGGTGGACTGTCCTCATCTTCGCTGCTTTCATCCCTGTTGCATAAGAATTTTATAGCTAACATTAGACAATTATTCGAACTTTTAAAAACGGATTTCTCCACAGCACTTACTGTGCTTGCCTTGATCGTCTACCCCTTCTACCTCCAATTACAGGGTTCCCAAAATGCTCTGGATGAGTCAACGGAAGTTGATCCAACGTTTCACTTTCTGCAAAGTGCCGTCCACTTTTCAGACAAAGCGCGGTTCTTCTCAACGTTGTAATATCTCCATCGTCGAAAACCACGGTGTATTGACTGCAGTCTTGGATTTTTGTAATCGTAGCTTCTACAAGTTCTTTCCGATCTACATGTTTAACTTCGACGGAGGCGCCTACTCTTAAAGTCCCTCTTATTTGATCATCGGCAACCGTAGCAGTTCCCAAACCTTGTGGTTTATAAGTTACACGACATTTCACTGATCGTACCACCTTACGGATTTTTGCTTCGCAGAAGGCACCCTTGTATTTAGCGCTAACTTCTGTACCCACCGATAGGGATGGTGGATCGTCTCCCTGCAACAACAATGATATTAACACAATGTACGTTACAATTAACATTCTATATTAATTAATTAACAATTCCACGTCAGAACTTATAACGTAAATTAACAAGTAACTTTAATAAATTAATTGGAAAGTAATCAAAGATCTATAGAAATACCTATTCTTTTTATATATTGTATTGCATATAAATTAAACCTTTTTAATTTCAATCAGTATTTATATTAATTTGTATCATAAGTATATTTAATTTTAACCTGGAACACATGACCGCCATTTATAAAAGAAATTATTATTTTCTTTTAAAGTAAAGTTCTATGCTCTTTAATGTTCTTTTTAATGTTATTAGCTTACAATTTATGTTTTTCCAACAAAACCACTGATTTTATCTACAATATAATAACGGCAAAACAATACTGATGTGCAAATATAAGTTTTCTTCATATGCAATAATTACATAAATCATATAAGGTTCAAACAGAAGAAACAGAGTAATATAGGAGTAAATAGAAGTTGATATCTGATCTCTAAACATTGATTACTTTGTGGCAAAAAATATTTAAAATATCAACAAAATAGTTCTAGTATATATGTATCATAGCATATGTATACAGGGTGAGTCAAAAATAGAGGGAAATATTTTGGAAGACAATACTATAGGTTATTGTAAAAAAAGGGGTAATTATGCAGAGATACGGGCCTCCCTCCGATGACCTTGACCTTGACACATATTGTCAAGATCACCCTTCTGAGTTACGACCTTCAGAAAGTTTTAGCTGACGGTTATTGTTTATTAAAAAGTTGTTAACAAAAAAATTGAATAAAAAAAATATAATTATCTGACACCGTATCTAGACTATAGGGGTAACCGGGGCAAACTCGACACAATTTTTTCAAAGGCAATTTTCAACAATTAACCCTCAGGGTACACACTGGGTTAGTGTAACCCGAGCGGATTTTGAAAGTAGCGCCATTTCAAAGGAAGTGAATGGTGGGGGTCCGTACCGGGGGGGGGGATCTTTGAGGTAGCTACTATGTGAGCGCCAAAGGGCAGCGTCAGTCTACGCTTGGTGCTCAAGTTATACGATTTTGAAAATTGAACTCGGGTAGTCTACACCCAGTCCGTACGGAACGTTACAAAATCCGTGTTAAAAAAAAATTTGTGTTTTTCGAGTACTTGCTGCAGAAGTTTTTTTTTTTTTTTTAGTATTCTGGTATGTATAATTTACTATTTTTAATATACTTTTGTGCATTCTAACCTCAAAATGATGCTCTGTAGCATACCAGCATAACGTATCCGTGCATGCATGTTAATATTATTTCAATTCTTGTTATTTATTTATATTATACTAATCAACAACATCCAAAAGAACTATTTTTACTTTAAGATATTTTTTTTGCGTTATTACGATAAATCAAGCAAGTAACGTTATATCGCTATCGCAAAAAAACGGGTATTTTCATAGTTAAAAAAAAAAATACTTTTTGGAATGGATCAAAAAACGAATTCAGCCATTTCAAAGAACAACTTTTTAGCTTTCAAACGCGACTTAAAAAATGTCAATATCTTTATGAAAAAAAAGTTATGCAAGTTATGCAATTTAAAAGAAAAAGTGAATTTTTATGAAAATTTTTTGAGAATGGTTTACATTTTCAAATGTATCTTTGTTTAAACAAGTAATGTAATAAATCTATCAACGCCATTGTATTTTTGAGAAAATTTCCGATCCAAAGAAAAAAAAATTTGTTTTAATTGACAAATTACAGCCCAATATACAGTCAATCAAAGTCGCCGGGTTAGGCTAACCCATGTCCGTACGGAACGTAACTTTTTTATAGTCTGTACCCTGAAGGTTAATAAAAATTTTCAAGCAAAAATGGTACACATTTAAAGAGTGTTCCTTCAGGTACAAAATTGTTTAAGGAAGTTTTTTGCTGTACGACGCTTAGTTTTGCACCCAGGAAAGGAAAAGTGACGCAAAGACAAATTTTCAAATTAAAAAATGCCGGGGCAAACTCGACACTTCGAGCCTGATCGACACAATTTGATCTGGAACTTATTTTTTATTGTCTGAAACTAAACATACATTGCTTATCGTGTATTTAGAAGGTACAAAAATTCAGAATTAAGTAAAACAATTATTGAAAATAATGAGAACAAAAATTGTTGAACATTCAATTATTTTCATCTAAACTAATGTCTGAAAAACAATTTATGCAAGTAAATTCGCGATTAGACGTGCGCACATACACGGAGAGAATTTTTTGTTATATTTTACCCTTAAATTCACTACAAACTTGGAACAACTTGGCAACCAAGGAATTTTTAAAATATACAAAAAACATTTTACAAACGTGATAAAAATTACCAAGCAGATTGGTAAATTTTAAAAAATTATTGAAATTTCCTAGATATATTTTAATAAAATTAATCAAACATATTTTATATTTTAATGTAATAGATATTAATATTTTTTATTATGGTGGATATTAATCAGAATAGCTCGCATAAAATTCTTTGTGGAACATATTGTCCCACAACTACCATGATTTCAGGGTGAATTTTAAGAGAAAATTCTCTTCGTGTATTTGTCATGGGCCATATAGCTGCATCGTTTGTTATTGGGAACCGATAAAACGGCGTGGTGTCGACTTTGCCCCGAACGTCGTTTTTCACTTTTGTTACTCCAAAAATATAAAAATTTTGAAAATATGCAAAAACTATTATCGAATTCGTATAAAGCATTGAATTTCCAATCAAAATCACTTACCGGTAGATTCGCAAGAGTAAAGCTCTATGAAAAAGTAGAAATTTTCGACAGATCAAAAAAATTACTTTTTACCATCAAAAACGCTTAGTCGCGCTAAAAATCACACCATAACTCAGAATGTCACCAAATTCCGTTGATAATACTGGCACATAAAGACGCATTTACAGTAGGAAAGGCAAATTTCTACGATAAATTTAAATTGGTAAAAAGCCTAGTGACAAGTTTGCCCCGGTCTCCCCTATGCTTTCATGTTACATTCTTCACTAAGCATAAATTGTCCTTGATTACCTTTCCTACCGTTGTTGATATTTCTTGCAAATTTAAAATTATACTCTTCGAAAATAAGCCAGTATAGGTTTTCGTACAGATAACATACTGTTGAACTATCGGAAAATGAAATTCTATGAATATCTCGCTTTAACGACAAGATTCTACGAGTTATTAGACTATTTGTGCACAAAAAAATGTAATTCGTAAAAAAAAAAATGTCCCCATTGCAAAAATATTATAGAATTAAATGGTGGATCATTAGTTATTCATTGCAGCATTACTACAAACAATTGCAAAAATGTAAACGCAAAAGAATAATTTGTGATTTTAAAATAAGGGCCTTTTATTAGAAAAATGTTTTTGGAGAGATAAAAAAAAGATTTTAAAGCAGACAACGGTTTGTGTTTTTGGTCAAAGCAGAAAATACTCTGTATTTATGCTTTCTACTATTCTCTGCTTTAAAAAAAGATCATAATTTTAAAATATATAATTGTATATAATATTTATATAGTTATTATAATATAATTAAAATATATCAAGAGACACGGTAGTGTCTCGTGCCAAGTATACGCGGAGCGAGACCGACCGTGATCTCGATAACGAGTGAACGGATCAAGTTCTAACATTGTTGGCTTGATCGATAGCTTGGGGTCGACTTAGGGGGGGGGGGG